AGTTGATTCTTCTATTGTTTGTGATGAATTTTATACAATTATTAAATAAAAATAAACTTATATGAAAGGGAAATAAAAGATGTATATGACAAAAAAAATCTGTTTGCATGAAAGATTTAATGGAATCAATTTATACATAAAAGCTTGCTTGCAATCTTAAATAAATAAAAGTAATGAACTTAAAAAGTGTTGAAACAATATCATATTTTAATTAATACAAAAAAAACTATAAAGATTTTATTTAACACTCGAATATTAAATATTTCATCAACTCTTTTATAGAAACATTCATTTTAATTTTAATTTTATAACAGGCTTTAATGGATAATAAAGTAAAAATTTTATTATCCAGTAAATATAATGAACTAAAGTTGCTTAAATAATAAAAAAAGCATAGTGATTTGCTTTAATATAGCAATTATAATTTAAATATAACTAACGTATAGAAAGTATGTTATAAACACTTCTAAACATTTTCTTTTATGTTATTTGGAAATTGAAACAGTTTCGATATAAAAATAATTTCTTGTATCACTTTAAAATATAATTGCATCAGTTTATTTTGTAGGAAAAAAAACGCATCTTTCATTTTCCACTCGGCCGCTTCTAATTTTCCATTTGGAATTCCAGGAATGTTTCCAGTGTGTTCCATAATTCTTGTAGGTAGAGGAATTTTTGGTTGTAAATAATTTTTGTAGAAGGAGTGAGCACAATAATTCTCGACTGTGATTCATGTCTATACTTTCTACCAACACCAATGAAAGCATTCAGTTCTATTTTTTCTCGCGATAAAAATGATAGAGTTTTATTGCAACCTAAAAATACAACTTATAATTTACCTTTTTCTTCTATTATTTGTAAACAGTATTTCTAATAACTTAAAATATATAAAATTCTAGAGAAAGAGTTAGCTTTTTCATTCAGTAGTTTCATTCGGAATTATTTCATTGTGTTTAATTAATTTATTTAATTAAAGTTAAGGAGCGTTAGAAGAGTTCTCTATTGTTTATTAATGCTACGTTTTGTGTATATTTTTGTTCGTTTATTTCGTGTAAAATTAACTTAGATGTTGTATTATTGTATAAGAAAAATTAATGTTGTAATATCGATTTTTATATGAAAGTAAATTTCAATATTTCAGAATAGGGAAGGAAAAAATAGAAGAGAAACGTAACATAAAAGTCCTGTTATCTTTCCAGATGTGACACCGGTAGAAATAACACGTCTATCTGTGCCTCGATGGGTGCAGAATGGCACTGAAGACTCTGTTGTCCTCGATTGTGAGTACACACTTACCACTGACGATGACCGCTTAGTCGTCAAATGGTTTCTGAATGACGATCCAGAACCTATCTACCAATGGATACCGGAACTTGATTCCCGGCATGCGTCTCGTCGTCTTCAGGGTCGTTTGAACATGGATTACAAAGTTTCACCGTCCAATGGCTACACCAAGTACAGAGCGTTGAACATTCTCAGACCCACAACAGATCTTAGTGGCAGGTACTCTTGCCACGTGGGATCACTTAGTAATCAAGATTCGGAGGACCAAATTATGATTGTCTACGGTGAGTATTACTATTATTATTTGTTTATTTATTAATTCAGAGGTCATCATAGAGTGGATAATACCAAAAAAATCGGGTTTTTTTTATAGCTCCGCCAAGAATTTTCGACTTTAACTTCACAAAATTTGCTCCGGGAATGGCGAAGTTCACATGTGAAGCAGATCGCGTCTATCCATTACCGAGAGTGTCTATGTATCGTCGCACAGAGGCCGATGATCCAAGACCTATCAGTTCCACACAGACAATTGTACATCAAAAAAACGGAGCATTTACAATCCAAATATCCCAAGATATTCGGGATAGAGAATTTCCCTCTGGTCAACCAGTTACGTTCGAATGCATTCTTTCAATACCGGGTACAAATTTCCAACTACAAAGACGCATGATCTATTACCCAGGTAACTTTTTAAATCATACGAAACTTTATTTCTATTAGTTTTAGTTTTAAGCAACCTAAATTTTATCAAGATTTCGAATTATTTAATTAAGATAGTTAAAAAGAATTTTTGAAAACCGCATCTATAAATGTCTATTCCATTCAGAAAAACCATAACCCCAAAAGTTGGCAAGTTTGCAATGGGTTTAATACTTCGAAAATCCACAAAAGGGATGAAATTTTGTCGAAGAAAAACTGGGATATCGAATTCTCTGACAAAATATATTGCAAGGAAGCAATGTATTGGATTATAAAAGCAAGTGATGTATTGCTGGAAAGCACACATCAAGTAAAAAAAGGAGATTAACTTGTTTATTTCTCCAATTTTAGATGGAAGGAAATATCATTACGAAATAAATTCGAATAATTAATATTATTTAAAAATGAAATTATTCTATTTTTATTTTCTCCATAAATGTCACAGTCAACAACTGCTTTTAAATTTATACCTTTGAACGATTTAGTTATAAAAAAAACAACAAGAAGATAGCTGCCTATTTTGCTTTCGTGTACGAGCGTATCGTTTTTGACAGCACTTCTCTCACAAGTGATGGATCGCTTGCGTGTATCTTGCGACAATTTAACGTTAAAGGTGGCCGTTCCCGAATTTTTAATGGGACTAACTACCACACCATGACGCCACTGTCAGAAAATGAAAGTGTTTAATCATTTATAGCATTCTATGTGTTAAAATACAGCTGCACACTGATTATATTTTACTAAAAAATGGGAAAAAAATTCTTGAAATATTTAATAGACAGCTGATTAAGTTAAGTGTTTTTCTTGAATGGCATAATAACAATAAAAGTCCTTTATAGCTTTCAGCGATGTTATATCATATGGCATATCTATATCGATCATTTTTCTACGTTCAATTTGTCAGTTTAGCTGAAAACAACAAGGTAAATTTATTAATTTCTACAGAGGAAAAAAGCCATCTCTCTATTTACTTTGTACTTAATATTTGAATTTGGAAACGTTCTGCTTAATTATTTAAAGTAACCTTTTATTTTCGTCTGTAGTTAAAAATTTCAAATATTTTCATCAATTCGTATAGACACGGTTTCAAATGTTTAATTAAATTTTTGTTTATCTAATAATGTTTTTGAAAAACAAAATATTTAATTAAAATTTTAACAATACCATTCTATCAGATACGTCTTTTTAGTAGGATATTTAAGTGTAGATACGTTGTGACGCGTGAAATCAATTGTATCAATTGAGATTAAGTTAAGACAGCAATTTGGAATACAACATGAAAACATCGTGATTATTTGTGACAGAAGATTATATTAAACTACTTTAGAAAAGTGCTTGATATAAGAGTTTTTAGGGTATATTCCTCTTAAAAATAATATCTCTGGACAAGAAATCCGTTTATCTACTCAAACATTAATATCGCTTATTTCTATATTGTCTAAGAGTTCTTTATAGAAAGAATTAACGAGATAGAAAATAAAATCTATTCTCTGTATCCATATCAAATAAAAATAAATATATATAAAATCATTTATTTTTAAAGATATTCTGTAGATGCATTATGAAACGAATATAAGTTGTCTCTTTATATTTGTTTAGTTATAAAGTTATGTAGAAAGACAGTTCATGGTGGAATGTGTCAGGAATTACTATTATATGAGACAACGAGCAGCGTTAACAGCTGCACGTCGGTATACTTAGACTTTGTATTAAGCCTGTTGCCGTACTTCAAGGACTATTTTAATGAGATTACACCGACAGAACTACGAAGATAGTAAATTTTAATTACAAACTTAACGCTTTCTAGTGTTTGATGGACTCGCCGTATTTACATATGTCTAATTTACTATTCACTCGTCAGAAATTAAAATTACTATTTCAAGTAGAATAGTAATTCTCTTGCTCTTTAACACACATTTTCGCTGATGGTATGTTAAGAATGTCTCTTGGTTCTTGATTGCTCTCATGTTACAATAGTCTAGGTGATACTAAAAATTAACAAATATTGATAACTTCTGTAAATAAAATAATTATTTCTCTTCTCTATAATATGAATATATAATTAGAAAAATGAATTTATTATTTAAATTACAAATAGTGTATAATTATTACTATCTAAGTTGTGTAACACATCAGTGCGTATTATATAAAGTAATATGAGTTTAAAGTATACAGACTTTTAAATTTATATCGACATTTCTTGTTTCAATTTTCGATCTTTTTTGAGGAAAATTCGATTGAATTTTACGTGCTTTACATAATTTATATACTTTTTTACAGCTGTAAAAAAACTATATTTTTATTATAAAATAAACTACAAACTTTAAATATTATACAAAATTTTCGTAATATAATAAATTGGATAAAAATAAGGAAAATTGTATCCTATAACTTGTACTTCACCTGTAACTAATAGTTGTTTGAATGGAGTATACCACTGTACAGCTTTATTTCTTGGCGGGTCAGTCATTTTCCACTTGGATGCCTTTTGGTCCAAGCTCGGTTAGAAGAAGATAGTAAGTCTGTCAGTGTCCCATTGTCTATGAAATTTATGTGACAGATTCTAGACCAGAGGTCAATCGAAGTCTCCGGAGTACTATCGAAGAGGAACGAATAGCGCAAAAATCTTGTGAGGTGCAGTTAACTTGAACTAGAAAACTATTTGAAACTTATAATTAAGCTTCTGATAAATGAATAGTACATATATTTTCAATTTAATTAAGATAAAATCATTAAAAATTAGTATAAAATATTATAATCCTATCAATTTTTTTCATATCGAAACTTATAGATCCGTTTTAATTAGAGTGTCACTTATTGTTTTGATTTAGAGACAAAGAAAAAATATATATATATTTTAAATTAACTGTTCGTAAAAGTCCTTTATGCAATATAGATCCCAAAGTCAATATTGTTCTTTTTCAACGATTGGAAAAAGTTTATGAAAACCTAGATTTATATAAAATGAAAATGTTTTTGCTGCGCCTCAATCAATAATAGAAAAAAGAAAATGATTATTTGTAGTACTGGATATTGGTTGATATAATAAACGTGAAAATTGCTTTGTTGCATGATACTTGTTTATGAAACTAAATTTACAAGGAAAAAATTAATATTGCTTTACATATTAGCCATTAAAATATGAAATCTTTCTTTACTATAAATTATATTTATAAATGAACATAAACGTAATTCAATTCTATAAACATATAAAATATAAAAAAAGTATTATTATTTACTGACTTTCATATTTCATTTTTATTAAATTTAATTAAAATAAATAAAGATTTAAGGGTGTTATGGATAAATTATATAGATTTTATGCTAACAAATTATTCCTTATTAATAACAGCAATGTAATAAAATAAATAAAATTTAATAATTCAAGTGTAAACTCATAAAAAGTATCGTACGAAACATATTAAAACAAAACAAATGCATAACGTTTACAATATTTATTAGGTTGATGTATTAATATATTTAGCTTGCGAATGTTTGAATTAATTATGCAAATCCTAATATTTGTCCTATAAACTAATTATCAGATAAGAAGTATTTTTTAAGTAAAATGGTTCCTCATTAATTCTATCAATAATTATATGTAAATATAGAATATTAACAAGGAAATATAGCATTCGGCATAAAATTAAATTATAAAAGTCTGTTTGTAATATTAATTGATAAAATTCGTTTATAAGATCATATAATTTGATTTTATAATCAGTTTTACACTTTAAAATTTAACGTACGCTATTCGTAATATTATTAAATTTGTTTAATAATATTAAAATAGTGTCAGCTACATCATTTAAATTAGCATTATTATAATTAAAAGTTTTTTTTAAACTTCTGTTTAAATAAATTGTACAGAAAATTTTCCATAAGACTGTAACAAAACGAATGTTGGCATCCCTGCATAAGAAATATGTTATGAGGAGAAGCAACCTTTACAGTTTTCGTATTTTCTATTGATAAAAGAATAAAAATTTATTTGTAAATACTGTTTAAAGTGGATCAGTGTATTTATATATATTTTTTGCTTTAAACAGTGTTAATATAAATTATTAATGTCATTTTTACGCTAATCTCTATCATCTTTATTGTTAATTGCTAGTGGAGGATATTCTAAACTCCTAAGTAATAAGGTAATTCGTATCACGGAGTCTGATGTCACATGTAATAAATTTCACCTCATATGTTAGTACAGAATGCCATTACTGCTGAATGTCAGGTAATAATGGAAATTAAATTTTACAACTAAAGGACAGTGTTTTATATCTGAGACCGAAATACATTTTATTAGTGTAATAAATTACGAGTCAGATCTGTATAGAGCATTTTCAAGATAATTCTAAGCGGGAAATTGTACAAGTCTTAAAATGTCATCTGAAAGTCCTAACAGATAATTGGAAGTGTTACCGGATATTTTAAACGAATTATTTGCAACAATATGCTTGAAAGTGTTAAATATTGTTAATTATTAAGCAGAATTCACTAGAGGATATTCAAACATGATCCTTGCTTAGTGAAGCATAAATCATGAGATGCAATACTATAACTCACCTATATGCAATGATAATGGAAATTACTTGTAAGTAACTGTCATGATTTAGGTTAATGCCAAAAATAGTCCAATGAACGTGCTTTGTAATTAGTTTCATTAAAATCTATTGCTTTTAAGACTATTGCATATAATACTACACATCTATCAACATTAGCCTCTGTAATCCAAAATAATTTATGATTTTTGTCACATTACAGACATACTCAGATATTAAAAATATTAAACAAACCTTAACATAATCACGTAGAGAAAATTTATAATCCTTATTCTAATATTGGATGAATTTTGATTTTGAGAAGAGGGAGAAAAAGTGCAAGCGCTTTGACATTAACGAGATAGTGTGACACAATGTATTGTCGTGTAAACGCACTCCATTGGAAACTAAATACACTTAAAACATTTGTAAATTTCCCACACATATTTTTATATAGTTGAATAATAGCGTAATAAAAGAAAAAATAGTTATAATAAATCTTCTGCGATAAAGAACTCTAGTAGTGAAGATTTTAATGACCTTCTGTAAGTAATCCACAATTCTCCCATCATCTTTCTCCTTGTTTAGTAAAAAATAACCTTCTTTTAAACAAAAGATTAAATCCTTACACCATGATAAATGTTAGCACTTTTAGACTGAAACAAAAAAAAAATAAAATTGCAAGTGAAATGGATATTATAGGATATTTTCTAAAAATAGCAGTTTAGAAGATTGACCAACAGTTTGACAAAAGACGTCACTTTTAATTAATCAATTTAATGTTTTCGAAATTAATATTATTTATTAAACTGACAGATTTTAAACTTTGTAACATGATTATAATAAGATATGCCTTGAAAACATGTTAAAATCTAATCAAAACTTTAATAATTTTCGAGCACTGCAAAATAATAATACGCACATAAATCACTTTAAATTGTTAATTACTTAAAGTTGAGTCAGTTTTTAGAATTTTAGCGTAAATACAAATTTTTATTGCTTTTATTATAGTAGAGTAATTCGGATACTTTTGTGGAAAATCTCTGCAAAAAATAATCAGTTAACATTAGTGTATTCAAATTCCTAAATACAATTTAAAGAATCATCGGAAGAAGAATTTATCGGAATATTCTTTTACTTCTAGTAAGAAGAAAGTATCCAACGATAATTTCTTTTCCAATCATTCTGACGTTCGTTGGAATAGATATAAGAGTCTTTATTATGTTATGGTCCAGAGTCACTTGGATTTATTCCAGGAGACCGGTGACATCAGCCATCCAGAAATATTTTCTAATGGTTCAGTGGTTCTGTGTTTTCTGAACCAAACAGTGAACACA